TAGAGAACCGGAGACTGCTTTTACTGGAAACGAGGCGTTCCATATTAGCCCTCAATTGAAGATAAATGTAGATGTCTATGGGCCACAGCATGCACTTACCATCAGGTGGACTGTGTGCTCGTTTGTTACCCTTATTCTATAAAAAGGACCACGCTATCACAGAATACCGGCGTAAACTAGTAGCTTAATGCTGCTGCTGTGTTTCGTATGGTTAGCGTAGAGAACCGGAGACTGCTTTTACTGGAAACGAGGCGTTCCATATTAGCCCTCAATTGAAGATAAATGTAGATGTCTATGGGCCACAGCATGCACTTACCATCAGGTGGACTGTGTGCTCGTTTGTTACCCTTATTCTATAAAAAGGACCACGCTATCACAGAATACCGGCGTAAACTAGTAGCTTAATGCTGCTGCTGTGTTTCGTATGGTTAGCGTAGAGAACCGGAGACTGCTTTTACTGGAAACGAGGCGTTCCATATTAGCCCTCAATTCAAGATAAATGTAGATGTCTATGGGCCACAGCATGCACTTGCCATCAGGTGGACTGTGTGCTCGTTTGTTACCCTTATTCTATAAAAAGGACCACGCTCTCACAGAATACCGGCGTAAACTAGTAGCTTAATGCTGCTGCTGTGTTTCGTATGGTTAGCGTAGAGAACCGGAGACTGCTTTTACTGGAAACGAGGCGTTCCATATTAGCCCTCAATTGAAGATAAATGTAGATGTCTATGGGCCACAGCATCCACTTACCATCAGGTGGATTGTGTGCTCGTTTATCACCCTTATTCTATTTTAAAAAAAAACTCAAATAAGGATCAAAATGCAGTTGCGTTGTCACCCCTGGGGACTAAGATTGAATGCGTCGTTTACAGTAAAAAGGGTCTCCAGTTATCTACACTCATCGTTCTGCACCTGTATTCTGTGAGAAAGTGGTCCTTCCCCGGTCGAGCAGACCTACTCGTGTTACAATCATAATATGGTTGCAGCATGGCTCTACCACGTCTAAAAAGCATGGCTTGTAAACACAGTCTGTTAAAGACGTTAATGCTCGTTGTAATTCCGCTTCGTTTAACACCCTGGTTTCAACGGTTGCCCGCACTGTTACCGTTTGGAAACAATCCGTTGGGGTAACAGCAGCACGGCCAGGAAATTATTATCGGTTGTTATATCGATTTAACTTTTTATTTAAATATTTATAAACACAAATACATGATAAAAATTGCATGAACAACAGGTTTTAATAAAAAATATTCTGTTCTATTTCATTCTGAATAATAACATACACTAAATATATTTTGTCTTTGGTTATATAATTTAGCAACATTCTGTAATTATTTATTTACATTTAATAATAAAATACAAAAAACGTTAATACAGTATAAAAGTTTTTAATAACAATAAAAAACTAAAATCTAATAATAACGTGTACTATGTGTACATTTCAGGCAAATACAATATAAAATATAATACATTATGAAGTAATACGAAATATGGATATTTATATAAAAAATTACAAAAATTTAGTCAAAGAGTTAACCCCGAATCGTTTTAAGCTCAAACATACCTTGCAATATTACGTTGCACAGCCAGTAACTTACTTTGAGCCAAAACGATCCAGAGCCGAACATCGTATAAATCTATCCCTCAAATGCCATCAAAGCAGTGCCTAATAAAATTAAAAGATCCTGTAATCCTGTATGTAATAATCTTGAAACTGAAAAAAATAAAAAGCTGATTGCGAATGCGATAAATTTCCATATTTTGTGTGATTTAAAAGTTAAGCACTCATTGCACCTGTTTTAATTGTATTATTGGGTAGATTCTTGAAAATATGAAAACAGTCCACTTTCGATATCACGTCATTCATTTTATGGGTGTGTATGTTTTCTTTTTTATATAATTATTATTTTCTATCATTGTAAAATGCTACATATTAAATAAAATCTTTTTTTAATTATTAAAAGCCGAAGGACCGGGTTTACTATTACTTTAAGATCTTTTCCGAACACAGAGTGCAAAGTGCAAAACAAATCGTAGTAAATCTAAAATCAAAATTAAATACATCAACGTACATGAAATTAGTGTTATTGAATATTTATGGCTTTGATAATAAAAAGTATAAAGACAAAGACATGTAGTGTAAAGTAATATTACTTAAAATTCACCTTTAGAACACACAAGTCTAGCGAAACAACGCAAAGTTCTTGATGGAATACAATGTGGCTAACCCAGATAGTTTAGTGGTCGAGGTATCCGCTTTCTATGTAAAGGGCCGCAGGTTACTAGCCATGTTAGCTTTCGCGTGTAAATTAGTAATGATCGATAGTGAAATCCTGCAGTAAGACTTTAGCAAAAATTAAATGAAATTTCATTTCTTATTCTTGTTAACGCCCTTTAAACAGTTTGGTTGTAGCATTAATGGGTCGGCTCGACTCTAACTGTTTAAAAATCACATTTTAAACTGAAGTGGCAAACAAAATGAGTCCATCAAACAAGGCAGTATTTAGCTGCTATTTTACGCTGGTATTCTTTGAGAACCCAGTCTTTCCCCGGTCGAGCTGAACAATTCCTACTACAATAATAATACAGTTGCAGCGTAGCTCTACTACGTATAAAATATATTGCAGGCTTATAGAACATTCAGAGTTCACAACATAGACTTTTATGTTTCAAAAAACTATTTTGAGACTAACAAACATTTAATTTGTTACCATGCAACAACGCCTGAAGTAAGTTTGCTCATTTGTTTGAGTGACAAAAAACATTAAGAGACGGCGCGTAAGCAATTACTGTGTATAATTGCTTAGACGGTTGATTGGCGTGAATAATTTTAGAGTCAAAAGTATTGTCAGTTGCATGCTGGTCACAAGACTAAACAGCATTAATTATTCATACATTTTAATTCGAGCCCGCCAATTATATTCTTTCATTCATCGTAACATTCTTAACCGACTTCAAAGAGGTGGAGATGTTCAATTCGATTGTTTTTTTTTTTGAATGTCACGATATCTTCGCCAATTGTAAAACTATTTTAATCAATCTTTATTTTATTAAATGAAATCAGCCGTGTAGTGGCGGTGTAAGAATCACCACTACCCCACATCATCCCGTGGGTGTCGTAAGAGGCGACGGAGGGAAACAAATCAGGAGATGGGCAGCAATGTCTTCCTAATAACGACTTAAAATAAAATAACTGCGGTCGATAACCCGCTTGCCAAGTGTGGCAACTATAGCAAATGTTCCCCCAATGAGGCAATCTATGGGGAAAGCCTAGGTTTATTTCAAAATGCCCTTTCATCAAAAATAAATGTAACTCGTCAGAATATATTGATAAAATTAATAACAGTAACTTATCAAGTTATCATATTTGAATACAGAAATTTGTTATTTTTTATCTTCGATTACTCAACTACGCTTAAGTATGTAATTAATTGTTTTATGTTTTGTAATAGGTCATATCAAGCGTTGTGCCATCGCGCTTTCTTTTCTTTTCTATGAATTCGACAGTATACAACTCATTAGTTGTTGTCTGTGTCATAACTATTAGGTTACTGTCAATGAATTATTATGTTCTTACATTTTGGTATTATTCTATATAAGTAAAAGAACTTTTAATCCAAAGTAGGTATGAAAATCTCCTGGCTAACAGTACCAACGACGTCATCATTCCAAGGTTGAGCCGGGAAAGATTTGATAGCTGTGTCAAAGACACGCAGATACTTATAGACTTGAAATATAATTTCGCATTGTAGTTATGTTACACACTTGCGCGTTACGAATCGATGCGGTATCGTAATATAGTTCCAATTAAAGTACGATTTCCCATTATTTGCTAAACTCGAAACCGGTTATTAATTTGTTTGAATATAAACCACTCAAATAACTTATTTGATATAAACACTTAAATCTGTGCAAGAAACTCCGGGCGTCGTGCAGGGTTACAATTCAGGACCAATTTTATATTTAGATTTCAAATTTATAATTAAAGATCGATTATAAAACTGATCTGATATAAAACTGATTGATCAGAAAACTATTTGCACAGGACAGGATTATAGTGTCCAATTGTATGCGCAAGCACAGGTGCACTACGCTCTCTATTTCTACATACTCGAAGTCCGATGGGATCGTATCCAACACGACTGAAGAGACACGGGATCAATAACAAGACCAACGGCTTCACGTGCTTTCCGAGGCACAGGGATGAAAAACAGCCAACTTTCTGATTCCTCTCTGCTACTGAAAATTTCTTAACAGCAAAACCCTATAAATGATTTTGCCCGACCCTGGACTCATGTTCAGTGATCACGTTAAGACAATTAGACCAACAAAACAGTCACATTAGAAATTATACTAAAATAAAACACTTTACAAATTAAATGTGTTTCGACCAGGGCTATTTTGCAAAGAGTAGTTAAATTTTAAAAATATGATCAAATATATAAAACATTATATACCGTTATCGCAGTTTTTGAAAATACAAGTAAATGAGGCTTCTACTTTTATTTGAAACTATCCCAAACTGAATGTGATTTATGGCCAACAACGCTTTTGTCTACTAATCGACCCTTACGAGTGTGTGCGTGAGCAGTAATAACAGTCAAAATAATGCATTGCTTACATAGAATTTAAAAGATAAAAAGGACGGAATGTTTGAGATTTTTTTTATTTAATTCTCTTCAACATTTGCCTATATTACTTATACTGCAAATTTCGCCGGTTATTATGCACATACATGCTATATGTAACAAAGTTTGCATTTGAAAATTATATAAGTAAATATTATTAGTTGATTAAAACTACTTTTACGGATTTTATTGTGTTTTGAAATCTTGCAGTGGTATGCTTGGGTTTAGTTTTAATTTTATTAATTATAGTGTGTTCGCGTAAATATAAGAAATTATTAAATGTTATCAGGTTTACTGTAAATATTTCAATAAATAATATATTATTATGTAAATTGTTCTACAATAATTAAATATAATTGTTTTTGTTCACAGTTGCGGCTCTATGCATACTTCTGGAGGTGGGAGCGCTGCCGAGCAGACGAAATGGGTTCAAATGCAACGATCCGGATCTCTCCTACCCGCACACAGGGGACTCCATTTCCATTACCCTCGTCGCTGTAATCACTGTTATGATTCCTTTTATTGTTGTAAGTAATAATTTAATTAAAATTCCATAGAATATTTTCGCATTATCTGTCCAAATTAAGAGTACTTTTAATTTTTATGTTTTTATAGTTCAACCGATCATGCGGGGGATATCTGTTTATGACTTTGCCTTGGCATATGGTCTGACACAACTGGTTACTTTGCCTACGCGAATTCCAGATCTCTCATCCGAATGGATATCAGGTCTCCGTTGACGCCCCTTTTGGCTCTTCGGACCATTGTTTATGACTTCGTATCAAAATGTGGTGCCACTCACGCTCCCTTCGCGATTGCGTTCTGGACGCTGCCGCCGTGTTTGGTACTAGAGGTCGGCGAATTGGGATGGAATCCGGTCTTTCTTTTTACCCTACCCATGGGGGTGGGTTTGCTTCTCACTGGCTGGATGATCCCAACGCTGTTGCTGACTTTGTCACTGATGTGGTGCTACTGGGAATGGAACTATTTATTCCATCAACCGTGATACCAATCGGAGGCAGATCTACATCATACGCACTAAGCAGGAGTGTTATCAGGCCTGGACTCGGCCTCGACATGAAAACACCAGCGTCCTTAAAAAGAGGTATAAATCCGCCTCCAGGTCCTTCAAAAAAGTCATTGCCAAGGCAAAGTCACAAAGGCAGAATTGGTACAAAACTAGTTTGCCTTCTTTCGAGAACCCGTGCATTCTGGCCTGACACCAAGGCTGTCCGAGGGAACTTCTGCCAGATATCTCTCCCATCTCTGGACAGGGAGGATGACTTACTGGTCCATGGCGTAAAGGAGAAAGCCGATCTGCTAGGATCTCTCTTTGCGTCCAACTTGATGACGTGGGAGTGCACCGCCTTTGTTTAGCTCTGGACTTTTCATAGGCTGAAATGAATATTTGAATGAATAAGTGTGTTAAATGGATTTAAAATAAACGTATAATTTCACAGATGTGGGGTGTTGAAACGATCCTCCAACAAGATGACGAATACACAATGAAGAAGAGTAAGCTTATCGAAAGTGCAAAAACCGTGTCCCTTGTCTACCGGGACTACATCTACGGCGCTGTGGTCAACTTGACCGTATTAGAAGTAATTAAATGTGTGGTTGGATCTCCGAGACCCACGTTCTTTGACCTATGTGAACCAGACAAAGCAATGACATGTAACAAGTAAGTTTTTTAAATTAAGTTAAGTTTTTGTAGAAGATATTTGGTTTTCGTAAATAGAACATATTCATTTTATATTTTACACGTTACACTCACATTGAGAAAATATAAGTACTTCATTGGGCTATTCACTGTGTGATCTTTCCACTGCTAAACATAGGCCCCTTCCATAGATTGTCTATAACTAGAAAACAGCGTGGGAGTAACCATAAAAATAAAAAGCATTACAATGCTTGACTTTTATCCCAATGGATGATAAGTTGTGTAGTAGCCGGCATTAGCAAAGCACACTGTCTTAGTTTAACAATAGCCTATTCTCTATTTGCCTTGAAGACACACATATTGTTTGTAATCGAATGTAACGTACAGACGCTGGCAATGTTTTCCAATTATATTTATATTTTTAGACATTGTATTTTTCGATTCAATATCGTCTATTTCGATCCAAATCGATCGATATATATGTACTACGCGCTCGATATGGCATTCCAAACACTCACTATGTTAACTGAACTGTACTGCAATCCGTACATCTGTTATTGTGGCTTCGGTATTCATGCAATGCGGAGCGGAGCTAATAATAATTTATATTAAATTAGCACTTATGCAAAATAAACAAAAATTAAAAAAATGTATTCGATTAATAATACATTCTAAATAAACAATTATTTTTATTATAACTATTTTCGCGCGTTTATATCAACTGTGCATGCGCGACTCTACTGTTTCCCGCGCATTTGCGGATACAGAGTAGTGCACATTTTTTGTTTGGAATAACTTCTCTAGTACGTAGTACACGTAACTCAATGATCCAAATATATTAGATGCAATAGAATCAATTTGTACTGGATAATATTTTGTAAGACGACTATTTTAGCAGATTGTTTTCTATAAAATATTTTAAATATTGTGAAATTGAAAATTGAAAATGTGTACTTCTTTTTAACGTTTATATTCCTCATGCCGTGTTATTTCCTCATCTTTAGTTCGGAGTATGTAAGCAGCTACACTTGTACCTCTACAAAATACTCGCGATACCTGCGGATTGATTCAAGCAGGAGTTTTCCCTCTGCTCATGCTTCGCTCTCGATCTACTGTGGCCTCTTTTTGGCAGTAAGTATCCTATAGTATTATTTAGTTAAAACTTATTAGTTTTTATGTATATCACAAATTGTATTCCAAAGAATTGGCATTTAGATAAACTTACGCTGCTATTAATTAGTTTGAAGATTAGCACTCATAATCAATGTCACAGCTTTTTTGGTAAATTTGCGACCTATTTTTAATTATTTAATCTTATAAATTGTTATTTTAACTATAAAAGGCCAGTATTTTGCTTTCTTTACCAATACAATTATAGCCTAATAAAAGCCCACTAATAAACCTAGACCTCCCTCATATATTTCCTTGTAAGTGATTTTTTATAGGATTGGTTGACAAACGAGCACACAGTCCACCTGATGGTAAGTGGTTGCTGTTGTCCATAGACATCTACATCTGTCCTCGATTACGAATCAAAATGCAGATGCGTTGTCACCCGTGAGGACTAAGATGAAATGCCTCGTTTCCAGTAAAATGGATCTCCGGTTCTCTACACTCACCATATGAAACACAGCAGCGTTAAGCTACTGTTTTACTCTGGTATTCTGAGAGAGCGTGGTCCTTCCCCGGTCGAGCCACGCCTCTTTCTTCTTCTTGCCACGCTCAGTATTAGGGTTGCCAACTGCAGTTTTTTATTATTTTTTGTGGTTATCAGGAAGATGCTGTTGTATATCTTCTGTTTCATTTCCGTCTGTTGCCTTTTATGTGACCAACGGGACATGGGGTAGTGAAGTTTTTTGAAATACCCCCATATCAACTTTCTTCTTTTACGATTTCTGTGTTATTTAAAATTAATATATGGAGATTTTTATTTATAACTTCAACTGTGTTTGCTTATACTCAAATAAATCTCTGTTTTAGTGGTACCTTCAACGACGAGCGTTCAGTTGGCACAACCGCTCGGTCCTGTTGGTGCCGCTACTCCAAATTCTCTGCATCATATACGCGGCAGTCTGCCCCTTGTCAAGGCTCACGGACCACCGCCACCACTGGTGGGATGTGCTCGCCGGTGGTGTCATGGGCTTCATCAGTGCTCTGTATACGGTAAGTAGATAATCAAATTTAATAAAGTTCATAATTATACTATGGCGAGAATATAGCATACGAATGTACCAATAATGATTTCATATGTTTTCACAGTTAAATAAAACTAGATTTAAAGATTTATTCGCGTAAACTTATTTTATATTCCCAACGTTTTTTTTTTTGATGTTTTTCTTATTGTTGTTATATTTAAGTTCGTACTAATTAGATTGTAACAACAATAATTTTAATCTGGAGGTAGCCGGGTTAACTATGACATTGGTACGTCGAACACCTTAGTACCCGCCGTGACCATGGGTGCTGTAAACTTCTAGAAACGTCTAGCATATAAAGTAAGTTAATATACGCGATCAAATCCGTAAAAACTAGTTTTATTTAAATAATGTGCGAAGTTATCGTTATATATAGGTGTAGTTCCTTAACTATTTCGGGTTAAAGTCTCAGTGTAGAATCTGTGCGTGTACACCATAGCGCCATGTACGGCGTCTTTTTCGCAATCAACATTCAGAACATATTGCGGTACAAGATCGTATGTTTCCTCTGCACGTCGAACACACCGTCTCGCATCAAACTCATTACTACGTTTAAAGTTAAAAATTTAATATTTAAACTGCATAAATTTCTCCCTTCATTCATTACAATATATGAAATATGCACTGCTGAACAAGCCTTACTATCTCCACGCGGATATTAGTTTGTTTTTACATCTTTTTTTGTATAAATGTCATCCACCCCCACACTAGGATTCTCTCCTGCATCGTGGAAGTAGTTGACATTCATAAATTTCAGAAGAACAAACATCTAGACCTGAAACAATAATTTGCAGGCAGTAAATGATTATTAATGACGGCTCCGTGGCGCAGTGACTTACCAATGAGCCGCAGCGCTGAGGCCTGCGGGTTCGAATCCCGCACGGAACATGTATTTATATGACCTACAAATAATTGTTCCGGGTCTGGATGTTTGTCCTTGTATTCATGTTTGTATATAAACTGCCACACGATACAGGAGAAATACCCAGTGTGGAGGTAACGTTTTAAAAAAAAAAGAAAAGAAAATTTCTGGAAAGTAATGCCCGCTAGTATCGATCAATATGTTCTTCGAATCTAAACTACGATGTTCCGAATTCGTCATTCGATACTTCCTATCTAAAAAAACAACGGGGAAGTCCCTAACCAATTAACACCGTCATATTAAAATTTTATTAGGTTAGGGTAAAGAAAGCCATTCATAGATTGTCTCGTGGTAGTTTAGTATTTTTAAGTTTAGTTTACTTATGTTGTCATGATTGTCAAGCTTGATAGGTGGGATGGCAGCCGCATTTTTTTTTCAAATTCACGATCAAGTTCTTATCAGTAAGATACTGCTGCTGATCTTCCGTTTCTGTTTTCTCTGTCGCCTTATACTACACTAAAGGGATAATGTGTGGCTGGTATTCTTGGCCGCCGCTACACCGCGAAATTTGACCGTACTATTTATCAAGAAGGCAAATTCGTTTAATTTCAAATTTCTAACGATAATCTATTTCCAGGTGCTAGTTCTATGCAAGAACTTCTCGCAGCCGTCAGTGGTGAGCACCAGCGATATTTCGAGCAGCGACGGAAACAACCACCAGTCGGTGCGACGTCTGCTCTCCAGTGAGCCCCGGGTCGTGGTGCCCTAGCCTCAGGCCGTCTAGACCGCGCTGCGGTCTTAAAGTTGTCTGAACTTCATAGTGCTTCTGGCAATTTAGAAGTGATTTGTGGTTTCTAAGAATCCAAATGGATTATGATGGAAAAACTATTAGTTGTTGAGATTAGAGAAATGTAACTCTAGTTTTAGGAGTGGGTTGAATAGAATGGTGTAAATTGTGTTTGATTTTGTAGAAAGAAGTTGTACATTGAACCTTGTACTCGATAATTCGTGTACTTTTTAAAAGCAAAGAAAGCAATGTAACGACAACGATTTTAAAATTTAAACTAAAATGAAAATTAATTAATAATATGGAAAATTAGCTTAGAGAAATTTTGCATTTATTTTGTAATTAGAGTTGACACATGGCTTAAAGTAATATACACAAAATTTTGCCAGACTCTTAGAAGTAATTTCAAAATATTTTGTATATAAGATGCGTAGTTTAAAAGATGACATGATAATTTGTCATGATTGCTTGCTGAGTATTATTTATTGAACTAAAAACAAGACCAGAACAATTTTTCAGCATCTGTCTATCCATCTGATTACAATGTGGGTATCTTCAAGGTAATAGTAAACAAGCTTTTGGTCATTGCGTTATATTATGTACTACGTACTAGAGAAGCTATTCCAAACAAAAAATGTGCACTACTCTGTCTTCGCGCAAGCGCGGGAGACAGTAGAGTCGCGCATGCGCAGTTGATAAAACGCGCGAAAATTATCAAAATAAATAATTGTTTATTTAGATTGTATTGTTAATCGAGTACATTTTTTTTAATTTTTGTGTACGGGTTGTAGTACAGTTCAGTTGAACATAGTGGGTATTCGGAATGCCATATCTAGTGCGTAGTACATATATATATATATATATATATATATATATATATATATATATATATATATATATATATATATATATATATATATATACAACATGTATCATAATTAACGCACATTGAGAAAGTAGTTTGTTCAGAATCGTTTACTGAATCGATTCCTATCATTTTTAATATAGGTAATTTTTTATCCCAAAAATAATTAAAACTACGTAAATTACAGTCACACTAAATCTGTACAGTCAAAACAAACTGAAATGGACCGTAACTTAAGGCAATAAGACTTTTAAGAGTGCAGTTTTATTTGTATTATTACTAATTCTGTCATTCAATAAAAATAAAGAAAAATGAACTTTATTTCAAGCACGTTAAAGTCTTTGCGTTCGTGGATTTGTACTGTGACCACAATATTCTTCCGGAATTAGTATAATTAATTTGATAAATAATCAGTGCGTAAAAATGTTTAACTAAAAATTCAGTGTATGTACTATGATTATAACATAATATACTAATTGGGGTGTCTGAGGGTGTGCGTTAATTACGTTACATATTGTATATATATATATATATATATATATATATATATATATATATATATATATATATATATATATATATATATATATATATATATCGATTTTGGTAAGCTCATTACGTACGTATATGAGATTATTTATGTCTTCAAGCACTGGTTTAGAATAGTAAAAAAAAATATTTGCAGCAAAATCATAATATAAAGCAAAAAGTAGTAATTTCTAAATGTGTGTGTGACATTACTTTTAATGTTATTCACATTTTTGTTGCTCAGAGACGAAACCTTAGACAAATGAAACACCGCACACTACGAGCTGTACACATTTACTGTACCATACTTACTTCTGTGACGCAGTGACCCAGCTAAGCTTAAGGTGACCACGTTACACTCACGTACCCTACTAGAAGGAACTAAAATCTTTCAACTAAATAATGCAACTGTTACGTTTTATCAATTTTACAATTAATATGAAGATAACGATTTTTTAAGCAATTGTACGAGTACATTGTATATGTATTAACGCTTATCATACTCGGATTAATCACAGCCCTATAACTATACAATTTTCTGACAAATGATTTTGAAACTATGCTGTTGAACGACAGGTTAGCTTATAAAATCGACTGCCGCGGACTGACTCAAGGCCATCCTCGCGTTTTTATTGGTATACCTAAAACAGTCAGATTGTTGTAAGGCTCTTTGAAAATATATACTTAACGGCGCGGCGTGAACCATTTTATGAGAAAACATTTGCGAAGTAGATATGGAAATACCATCATCATCATCATCATCATCAGCATCATCATCATCATCCTGCAGCAGTGCACTGATGTACACAGGTCTCGCCCAAGGCGCGCCACTTAGCCCGATCCCCGGCTCCACGCGTTCATATACGTGAATTTAAATAATATTATTTTATCTACTAATAATTCGCTCGAAAGTGAACGAATGATGTAGAAATTAATTAAAATATCTATAAATTTAGATTTCATGAAGAGATTTTATAAAATATTACCCAGCTACATTCACACCTTACCAGTCTCAGTGCGGACCGGCCGACAGGCAATGTGATTGTGTAACTTAGTTGGGAAACGTGATTGGCTTCGTTTTGACGCTATTATTTAGTCTCCACAAAAACACAAAATTAACTAATATTTTGAGTGATTTGAGTGAAAACTAAATTTGATTTGATAAAACTTGTGTATAAGTATTAAAGCTACTTCAGAAGCTTTTATGTGGAAATTATTTTATCCTTTTAAGTTATTTGAAGTCGACTTTTTATTAAAAGTCTAATTTTATTGATTATTTATATAAGTATCTATTATCCGTTTCCGTGTCTTTTTCTCTATCTGTGTAACTGACTCTTTTAATGTAATTTTCACAAACTTGCAGACGGCCGATTGACTTGAAAATTAGTACTAGTATCAAGAACCGATGGCAATACAATAATATAATAACTTTACCCTAGGATCCTGATCAGGATCACCAGGATAAAATAAAATAATTATCAAGATCATCACAACTCATGAACAATGCGTGTTGTATAAGTTTATTTAAACTTTTAAATTATTTGTATTATTGGGTGCGCTTGACAGAAAAAAGCGCTAGCAAGCGCTTGTAAGCAAAATGGCGATCGTTAGCGGTAAGCGCTGTCAAATCCTAAGTAGCTATTTTCCTCCAGGACACGAAGTTAGTTTTAACCGGGGAACCTAACCTAATTTAAATATATGTTTGTAAAGTATTCATATTAAAAACTTACCAATCACGATTTTTTTAAAAACATGTATATGTCTATTCATGACATTGTATTACTTAAAACTAATATTGCTAAAAACAACTTATAAACTCTACTTCAAAACAAACAAATTAAATAAGCAAAGTGGCGGATTATGTCAGCGCTACTGAAGTTAGCAAACGTGTCCTGGCCGAAAACTGTTTAGTTTCGCCATTTTACTTACAAGCGCTTACTAGCGCTTTTTTCTGCCAAACGCACCGATTGTATTAAATTTCAAAATAGCCTAATGGGAAAACTTAACGCAGTTCCGTACTGCATCGCACCGGCGAGCCATACCGACAGAGACGCGTCAGCATGTAGGTGGAAATCCGTTGGGGAAACCCAGCTGGTTATTAATAAGCGAGCGCTGAAATGATACAGAGCTGAAAGAAATACTACGATATTTGTGTATTTTTTTGGTAAAAAATAAATAAGAGCGTCCGAGGACGACGTCGAGCCGTGGTATCTCAAAGGATTATACGCTCTTCTTTTTAAAATTTCATAGAATTAGTTATGGAGAGAAGATAAAATTATGTGATGAATAATGTTTTCTTCTTTATTATTTATATCTCATGTCATATAGATAATATTGAAAGGTACAGTAAGTAGCTGGAAACTTAAAAAATATGTAATTGCAAATGATTTAATAGTGTCGTGTTTAAAACCGTCAGTATTTTCATATTATTATTAAATCAAAAACCAGTGACGTAGTAGCAAAAATCACTAAAGAGAATCATGAAATGAACGACTTTATAAAGCGACTTTAAAGGCAAAAAAGTCGAAGAACCCTAGATTAGAATCCTGCAAAGAGATTTAAATATATTTACTACTACTTAAATGTCTTTGGAATCCTGTAAATCAGCTTCTGTATGGCTTAAGTAGTTTCGTTTATTTTTTTAAGTCAAGATTTTATTTACTTAATATAAAATCGAAAACAAAATAATAATTTGTTGAGATTCAAAAGACAATTTATTAATAATTTTTGGTTCGCATATTAAAGAAATAGGAAAAATACAATAACTAAATTTATATATTTGGAATTTACATATGGTCCACCAGGGGAGACTATAATTCCTTAGTTTTGCAGATAGACATTTATAAGTTAAGTTGTTGTTTAAAATATAATGTAATATTTAATCTAATGTATAAAAATTAAAGTTTGTTTGTTCGTATTTTATGCGTTGGCATATCTGATAAACGGTATCATATTGCGGTCAAACTTTGTCAACTTATAGCTTGCACTTACACGAAGGTTATAGGATTTTTTATTTAGATATAGTACAATAAACATACACTAGGTGGCGCTCGTATCGTACCAACAAATTTGTTTGAAAGTTATGTATTAATCAATTTCAATGAATGCATTATCATTCCTAATTAAATAATATAATTATTCCAAATTTAAAACGATATTTCCACAATTATTTCTTCGGTAGCAATATGCCGGGTAACAGCCAGTATAATACAAAAAATACCTAGCATTGTTATGAAACAAACAGACTCATATACTTCTTGCAATTCACAAGTACGGATTCATTCATTCATTAATTCATTCATTTAAAAAAAATATTAACAGTCCTAGTTTGAACTGATCAGTTGAACCGAGCGTGTGTGTCGTCCATTATAGCCAGCTGACCGCGCCGCCAGGCACGCACACTGTTACACTGTGTTGCTACATGTTGAACTCGAACCACATCGAAAGGCCGACCGCACTCGTCAAATGCAAGAACAGTACAACAGTATAACAGTTCTACTTCATTCATTTATTTGTTCGTAATGAATGAATGAATGAATTAGAACTTATCTATTATAAGTTCTATGTATAATATCTACTTAAACATTAT